AATCGAGTGTGGTGAGGGCGTCTGGCCCCTGGAGCCTCCTGGCAGGGGTCACTCCTGCCTTAGGGCTGCACGGCAACTTTCTGGCAGGTTGCAAGCACTCTGCACACCGCAGTGGAGAGGCACGGCCCACCAGGTCCCTGTGAGTGGGCCTGACCCTGACAGCCAGGGCCTGTGGAGGACGCTGCTATGGTGGCCCCGACCACCACGTCTGAAGGAGCTGGGGCCCAACAGCCAAGGTGACTCTGGGGGCACAGCCCTCTCTGGCACTGCCATAGCTGCAGGGCCACCACGCGCTGTGGACCCCTTCTCAGGGCACCCACCAGACCTCGGGAGAAGCAGGGACACGCGGCTGACAGGTCCATCCAGCCCCCGAGCTCCCTGCGGGGGGCTGGGGTGCCCACAGTACAGCTGGAGTTCCACATCCACCGCAGCTCCCTCGCCCCCTTCACAAGAGCCACGAGGCACCAGAGCCCCAACACACGGGCCGGGTCTCTCTGCATCAGCTTCCTCACGAGGCTGGCTCGTGACGGGGGTGGGGCTGTGGTGTCCTTTGTCCTTAGAAAGGGCAGAGATGGCCAGAGCAGGGGAAGGCACGGGACCCGGAGGAGGAAGAGGCCGGGAAAGATCAAACAACAGTCTCAACTGTCTTCATTCCCCCTCCCAGCCGCCCAGGCTTCCTCTGCAGTGTAAACAGTGGCGCTAACACAGGAGCCGCACCTCTGGGAAGCGAGCACGGGTCCTAGTCACAGCTGGCGTCAGTCCCGAACCCCTTCCTCCAAGACAAAGGACACCAGCAGGCAGGCAGGAGTCATAGAGAAGGCAGAGGAGACCCAGGGGCCCTTCTGAAGGCCAGGCGACACCACACTCTCTCCAGGGGGCTGCAGGAAGCCCCCAGACAGTCCTCCGGGCACAGCGGCCGCGACCTCAGAGTCAAACACATGCAGGACCCTGCGCCCAGCCTCTGTGTCTGCTCTGCGGGGCATCCGACTAAACCCACAGCAACTCTGGCGGCCAGCTCCTCCTGGGAGAGTGTTGCAGCGAGACGACGTCCTCAGGAGAGCGGGACCCGAACAGAGCACACACTGGGTCAAATCCCCCAAGACCACCAGAACAAGAGAATGGGGAGGGGACAGGTACAACTAGTTCTTGGTACCTGGTTCTAGAAAGGGAGGGAGCCCGGAGAGAATAAGACAGGACAAGAACTGACAGAGATGGATGGTCAGACGAGAAACTTCTCCGGCCAGTTCGGGGAAGCTCAGACTAGGGGCCCAGAGAGCGAGAACTCCAGTGGCTGGGCGATACATCCTCTGCGTGCATGAGGTGCCCAGGTTCAGTCCCGATGCCACACGGTTCCCTCCAGCATGGCCTGGAGTGACCTGAGGCGCACAGAGCTAGGAAATGTCCTGGGTGCTTCTGGTGCGGCCCCAAAAGTGAGGTGGGGAGGTGTGGGGAGGGAGAAAGGGCAGTGTCCACGCCGGTGCAGGCGAGCTCTCCCTTCCTGGGGTTAGGAGAGTGGCCCCTGGCACAGGCTCTGAGGAAAGCCCCAGCCCTGCACTCCCGTCCCTGCTGTCCATCGGGCATCAGCACTCGCCCTTTCTCGCACATGGCCCCCTTGCCCTGGTGAGGGCGGCTGGGACGCAGGACACAGCCACACAGCCGTGCTGTTGAGCCCACTGGAGACATCAGCACGGACACGGGAGACTGCCCAACATGGGATTCGGTCAAAGGCAGGTGGCCAGCCCCCACCACCCCGGAGGCCGCACAGCACCCCCCCCACAGGCTCCCTGTACCCCAACACTGATGAGAAACAGGAGGGAAGGAGACTCAGTCGTCACTGCCAGCGTCTCCAGTCTGTTGGACTTCCCACCTGTTGATTGTGATGCTCGGACAAGCCCAGAACGTAGGATTCCACTCACACAGAACACCCAGGACAGGCCAATCCAGAGACAGAGCACAGATGGGGGGAAACTGAGGACCGGGAAGGCCACTGTATGCTGGATATGGGGCGTCTGGTTTAGCAGGAAAAGAAAGTATCTGGGGGGGCTGGAGCACAGCGGGTAGGGAGTTTGCCTTATACGTGGCCGACCCGGGTTCGATTCTCAGCATCCCATATGGTCCCCCGAGCACTGCCAGGCATAATTCCTGAATGCAGAGCCAGGAGTAACCCTTGAGCATCGCTAGGTGTGACCCAAAAAGCAAATAAATATAGTAAAAGTAAAGTAAAGGCCCTCCTGTTGATCATCGATTTGCTCGAGCGGGCCCAGTAACGTCTCCATTGGAGACTTTGTTGTTACTGTGTCTGGCATATGTTGTTACTGTGTCTGGCATATCGAATACTCTCGGTATCGAACTCAGGTCGGCCATGTTGGCCGCGTGCAAGGCAGAGCGGGTAGGGCGTCTGCCTTGCACGTGGCCAACATGGCCGACCCGAGTTCGATTCCTCCACCCCTCTCGGAGAGCCCGGCAACCTACCGAGAGTATTCGATATGCCAGACACAGTAACAACAAAGTCTCCAATGGAGTCGTTACTGGGCCCGCTCGAGCAAATAAATAAATAAATTAATAAATAAATAATCTGGGTCCTTCACTTGTGGTTTATAGATCATTAACCTCTAACATGGTTGTGGATATCATTTAACTTAAGTATACCTTTAAAAAAAAGTATAAATTAAGGTGGAGTTCATGCCCAATTCAATCAGCTAATCGGTGGCTGAATAAATAGCAGTACTCCTACAAAAAAAAAAGGTGTCTAGGCACCAGAGAGAGCTGGCCTTTGCATGACGGTGTAAGTGGACTCAAATGCCATAGGTTGTTCCCTTCTGAATGGTTCATGTTATCTGACGTTCTCCCCCATTAAAAAAAAAAAAACAAAATCATAAAAGTAGAAGATTTCCCCACTTGTCCAAGACAGTTTGATAAAGCGTGTCAGAAGCAGGGTCCTGGTGGTTGGGAGGGGCAGGAGGTGAGAGGAACTCAAACCCCTGCCCACCCCCCACCCAGGGGAAACTCTGGGCCCCAGAGTTTAACCTTTCTAAGGGCTGCTTTCCTGACGGGTAAATGGGCACCCGGGCACACCTGCATCCAGGGCTGATGTGACGAGTAAACAGAGCAGGGAAGGCACAGCACAGCCGGAACGACCCAGGCCCCAGGGCTGCCTCAGCTGACCCCATCCTTCCTCACGTCAAGCCTCTGCTTAAGTGTCCCCTTCTCAAGGGGACCTTTCTGGCCACACGACCCCTCAGCTCTGTCCCCAACATGTTCCTCGTCCTGTCTCCTGCCCTACAGGTCTCTTTCTGTCAGCTCGAAGGCTGGAAGAGCCTGGAGAGACACAAAGGTAGGTGCTGATTACATGCAAGGCGCCCAGATAAACAGTGTTAGCACACAGCACCGGTGAGCTGCCACGTACATGTGACCCCAAGAAAATAAAACTGCTGTTGTGTCATTCAATGAACTTGAACTTAAAAGTTACACCAAAGGTGACCATTTAAAACCCACAGTATTTCCAGCTAAGTATTACTCCCTAAAGTGGGGTGGTGGGGTGGCGGGGGGAGGGAGAGAGGTGGAGGGATTTGCCAAGCGGGAGACGGTTCCTTCACTGGGGCTGCGAGACTCAGACTGAAACCTGCCAACAGCAGCGTCCCTGCCTCGGCAGTCCGTCTAAGTGGGGTGTGACACGTTTCCCCGCAGGCTCTCAGCAGAAAAGAACACAGAGCTCGGTGCTCACTCGGGCGCCACAAACCAGCCACCCGAGCACCAGGGGCAGATGGCCACTCTGAACACAGTGCTGGGCAGCGCGGACATCTTCTCCTTCCCCTTCTGGGGCACCCCTGCCCCTGCCACCCCACAAGGCCTGGGTGTCCAGGCTCTCACGCCTCAAACGGGAAAACATGGCCTCAATTACTCAGAGTTCAAAATAAGCACAAACAGAAAACAACCCTCAGACTCATCTAAAAATAGGCTGTCTTTCTAGTCAGCTCCCCAAAGAGACCACTACATCATTACTCCACAGAACTCAATGGCTCCGGGCTGCCTCGGAGCCCTCTGTGCAGGGAGTGGGGCGGGGAGGAGGAGGCTGGAACCAAGCAGTCGCCAACAACTTGTGGTTTTAAAAAGAAAACAAAATAAAATCCGCAAGTTTGAGTAAAATCAGCAAGGAGCATCTTCCATGCCCTTGTGAGTTTTGGCTGTGGGTGTAACCTGGCTTCTGGCTGGAACCCGGTGGGGGGGAGGGAGAAGGAGGGGCTCTGTCAGGAGGCCCCTCTTGATGGGTCTCAAATTTCCCCAAATGTGAGGATCGTCCCACCAGCCTGTGAAAACGTCGACCCACCCAATTCTTCTAGCGCAGTTGATCTAGATGGCCTGGGAGTGTGCATTTACGGCCAATTTCCAAGCCAAGAGATAGATGCTACTTACAGGTCCTGCGAAAACTCTTGGAGAACCACTTATTTAGATCATTCTTCCATTTAGTATTTCCCCAGTGCGCACACACACTGCAGACACACACACACACACACACACACACACACACACACACACATGCAATTTGCTCTCAGAGGGTCTGAGAGAGCCCCTAGCCTCACACTGCGAGCCCACCAGGCCCAGCGGGTGACTGACCGCCAAAACCAATAGCAGGAGCACTTGAGGAAACGACCCCATGCCAGTCCTGCGGGGGCTGGTCACTGTATGGAGCCCTGCATCATACCCCACACACTTGAAATCCAAAGCAGTTCCCTTTTTCAAGAACAGACATGAGCAACCCCATCCCTCCCAGCTCACAGGCAACACCCACAGCAAGACCCACTTTCTATGTGAGGATGCTTTCAAGATTCTGAATCAGAGCTGTACTGAAAGGGGGAGGTAGGGGAAGAAGGGAGGAGGCCGGCCACTCTGAGACTTCCAGCAACCCCTCTAGTGATCCCGGTGGGGATCACTTCACCCCAGTCACCCCAAACATAAGGGCTCACCGGTACTGTGACCACCTCCACTATCGGCTTACTCACCAAAGTAATCAGCCTTGGGGTGGGCGTCCATCTCCCGCTCTAGACGCTGGGTGAGGGCTTCTAACTTCAATTCGGCGGCCGAGGGCCCAAGCTCCGGGCCTGGGGTGAGGGTCTGGCAGGGCAGCCTCACTCTGGGGGGACTGGCACCCTCAGGGAGCACAGGTCCCAAGCTGCCATCAGGGGACCTGCCTGGGGGCCCTTCCTTACTTGACAGCTCGGGCGGGGTACCCATCGCTGAATGGACCAGGCTGGCAGAGCTGAGCTTGGGCCCAATGCCAGGATCTGTGCTGCCTGGTCCTGGGGCTCCATCCACCTGCAGACTGTCAGCTCGAGCAGCCAAGGATGCCTCTGGGCTGGAATGGTAAGATTTGGGCCCATCCTGGAACCAAGGTGGAGGGTCCACGGAGGGTTTGGGCATCAAGCCTGACACATCCCTCCCCGGCCCTGAGACCATTCGTGGAATTCCTCTTTGGGCCGCAGGGGCTGCAAAAGACGAGGTCCGGGTCTGAGCAGGAACTAGGGGGGCACCGTTCTCCGGGCCTGGGGAAGGCAGATGGGTGCTGACCCTCTGGGAGGAGGCGGTGGCCCACAGGCCCCCCACGGCCCCATCGTGGCCACTCTCAAGCCCCCGGCTAGAGCTCAGCAAGGGCTGTGGCTGGTACACAGGGTGGTCCCTGGAGGGTGCAGGCGGTGGTGGGTCAACCCCTCCAGGGCGAGGCCACTGGCCGCCTCCCGCCCTGATGCCAGAGGGCACTCCGGGTTCTGTGCTCCACTTGGGACTTGCCAGGGAGACGTTGTCGTAGTAGTCCCCGTGGGTGAGGCAGGCGGGATCCTCGCAGGGACCCGAGCGGGGGACAGCCGTCACGGGCCCCTCCTGGGAAACACAGTCCTGGCTGCCCAGCCGGGCGCCCCGGAGGAAGGGTCTGGGAGGGGCTGGGTGCACGGGCGGCCCCGTGGTGCCCACCGACGCGGTCCCGGGGGCCCCGGTGGAGGCGGCCAGAGGGGGCTTGGCCGCACCGTCCCGGGCAGGCCTGCTGCCCGGGCGGCCCCCGCCGTTGGCCGGTCCGCAGCTGCCCCGGGCCAGGCTCTCCTCCTGCAGGCGCTGCTGCTGCTGCTGCTGGAGGTGGATCTTGGCCATCTTGGTGGCAAACACCCGGCGCGTCTCCTCGAACTCCGGGTTGTTGCCCGCCCCCTTGTCCACGCGGAAGAGTCCGTCCTTGGAAGCCTCGTACATGTTCAGGTCCTCGATGAACTTGCTGGCCTCCAGGCCCAGGTCGTCGTACTTGTCCATGTCGCCGGGGGGTCGGTGCGACGGGACAGGAGCCGCGGTCGGTGGTGGTGGTGGTGGTGGTGGTGGGGGTTGGTGCTGCTCAGGTCCAGTCCCGGACCGGCGGGACGGTCATGCCCCGGGCGCGCGCGCGCTCGGGCCCCCCGGAACCCAGGCGGTGCCCACGTGGGGGGCGCCCGCGGTGCCCGCGGTTTCAAACCATCAAAGAAAAGTCGGAGAGAAGTTGGCGGGGACGCACATCCTCCGCGGGCCAAGCCGGAACCGCGCGGACCAGGGCTCCCGCCGCGGGCCGGGGTCCGGGTCCCCGCCTGCCGGGTCCGGGGTGGCGCGGGGCGGGCGGCGGCGCGGACACGTCCCGGGCCGAGCCGGGAAGGCGGCGCGGGCGGCCTATTGTCCGGGCGGCGGGCGGGCGGGCGGGCGGGCGCGCGCGGGCCGGACGGCGGGACGCGGAAGTGAGTGCACCGGACGCCGGGCCAGCCAGCCAGCCAGCCAGCAGCGCCCTCCCGGCCCGGCACGTCCCGGCGGGGCGCCCAGCCTGGGGGCGGAGCGGGCGGCCGCGGGGCGGGGCGGGGGCCGCGCCCCACCCCACTCCACCCGGGCAGGCGGCCCCGGCGCACCCCGCACCCCGGCAGGCCCGCCCCCACTCCGCCGCCCGCACCCCCAACGGGCTGGCACCCGACTCCGCCCGCACCCGCAACGGGCCGGCACCCCACTCCACCCCACCCCACACTCACTCACTCACTCCATCCCCCGGCAGGCCCGCGCCCCCCCACTCCGCCCGCATCCTCCCCCCAACAGGACGGCACCCCACTCCACCCACACCCCCGCAGGCCCGCCCCCACTCCGCCCGCCCGCACCCCAACGGGCTGGCACCCGACTCCGCCCGCACCCGCAACGGGCCGGCACCCCACTCCACCCACACCCCCGGCAGGCCCGCCCCCCACTCCGCCCTTACCTCTGGCAGGCCCACGCCCCACTCCACCCGCACCCTCCTCCAACCAACCCCACTCCACCCGCATCCCACTCCACCCATCCCGCAGGCCAGCACCCCCAGCACCCCGCACCCACTCCACCCTGCACTCACTCCAGGCCCCCCCCCAATGCCTGCTTCCCCCTCCACACACCATCCTGCACTACTTTCCACCCCCCACCCCCACAGGTCCGTCCTCCACTCCAACCCCCACCCTAGCCCGCAGATCTGTAGGAGTAGTTGTGAGTCTCCTGCAGGCTTCTCTGTCTCCCGCCTCAGCCCAGCTCCTCCTGCAGGCCCAGGATGCACAGAGAGGAGCTGAAGAGAGTTCGGAGGCCTCCTGTTAGTCACATCACTGTGCCTCAGTTTCCCAGGTGGGAAACTTAACCCCTGGGGTTGCTCAAGGCCCCTCTTTCTAGGCAGCGCCTGTCCGGCTCAAGGTGGGCAGTTGGTGGTATGGGGTAGGTAAGGAGCTGGGGTGATACCCATGGGTTGCCCAAAGTCCTTTTTTGACAGGGAGGAAGGAAGGACTGGCCAGCGAAGGGTGAGAGCCTGTTCCCGGGAACACACACAGTGTTTTGTGAGAAGGATGTTGGGGTCTGAGTTTGTATTTTCTGTTTTTATTTGCTCCTGGAGGTGCTGGTGTTCACGGCTCTGGGCTTGGGGTCACAGGACCATGGGTTGCTGCAGATGCAGCCAAGTCAGGGGCATGCTAGATGAGAACCTTAACCACTAAGCTCTCTCTCCAGCCCCCAGAGCACATACCTTTGAGGTCCTCAGTGCAGAAATAAAAACTTGTGCCCTGGTAGTTAGTTGCTTATTCTCTCTCTCTCTCTCTCTCTCTCTCTCTCTCTCTCTCTCTCTCTCTCTCTCTTTCTCTCTCTCTCTCTCTCTCCCCCCTCTCTTTCCCTCTCTCCCTCCCTCCGCAAGTTCTGACTCCTGAGTGCCTCCCACTTGTTGGAAACTTTCCCCGCAGCAACTCCAACATGCCCCAGGAAAGGTTTCATTTTCCACACAGCAGCTGGAGTGATCCTGAGGCAAATATCAGATGAGTTGCTTCCTTGCTGACACCTGCAAAGTTTACTCCAGTTTTCAACCAACAATGGCCTTCCCAATGGGAGGGTCACCTTCCTCTTCCCTCTGGCTGGGATCCCCTTGCTGTCCTGCTCTCCCTGCTGGAGTTTCCTGGGTGTGCCCAGAGCCTGCCCTTGAACTTCCTCCTTGGCCAGTACTTTCTTCCCTGGGGCCTTCTTTTTCACACCCTATCAGTTACAATCCTGTAATTATTTATCTCTGTGAGTTTGGGAGTGATTGGCTGGTTGTCTGCCTCATTAGCACACATCTGCATGCCCAGTGTCTGGCGCCTAATGAAGAAGAAGTAAATCAGTGAATCGATCTGCCAGGATTATGACAAGGAATTAAGGGAATAGACATGAAAGTGCTTAGTATCCTGTAAATGCAAAGTATGGTTCACAGGCCAGTGGGCTGGAGTCACCAAGATTCCCGTTGAAAATGCAGAACCCTGGGCTGGAGCAATAGCACAGAGGATAGGGCATTTGCCTTGCACGCGGCTGACCCGGGTTCCATTCCCAGCATCCCATATGGTTCCCCGAGCACCACCAGAAGTGATTCCTGAGTGCAGAGCCAGGAATAACCCCTGAGCATTGCCGGGTACAAACCCCACCCAAAAAAAATAAATAAATAAATAAGAAAATGCAGAACCCATCTACTGAATCCCAGTCTGCCTCTTAACAGGAGTCCTAGTGCTTTGTTTTCTCAAACAGTCAAGTTTGAGAAGTGTCAGTAAGAACTTCACTCTCCTGCTCTAGAGGCAGGCAGGGGGTGGGGGGTGAGGGGTGATGGGAGGGAACCTGGGGACACAGGTGCTGGGAAACGTACACTGGTGGAGAGATGGGTGTTGGAACGCTGTATGACTGAAATGCAATCATAAACAGCTTTGTAAGGGCCTATCTCACAGTGATTCTATTTAAAAACTTAAAAAAAAAGAATGGCACTAAAATAAGGTATTTTCACATTTGACAAATCATTTTTAAAAGTTTTATTCTATTAATCTTTTGCTTTTTAATCAACAAAGGTGATAAATGTTTGTGATAGCAACTTTGAATAGCACAGAGATTCATAATCTTTTATTTTGTTTGGGGGCCGTACCCAGCTACACTCAGGGCTTACTCCTGGCTCTGTGCTCAAGTCCTCAAGGATCACTCCTGATAGGGCTCTACAGGGAAACTTGAGGATGCTGGGAATTGAACCCAGGTTGACTGCGCACAAATCAAGTGCCCTACCTGTTATACTGTCTCCCCAGCCCTGCCTACTCTCTTTAAGGTGCTAGAGAGGTAGTCACTGCCACTGTCACTGTCCTCCTGTTGTTCGTCAATTTGCTCAAGCAGGCACCAGTAACGTCTCACAACAAATTATGAGACTTGTTACTGTTTTTGGCATATCTAATATGTTACAGGGAGCTTGCCAGGCTTCGCCGTGCGGGAGAGATACTCTCGGTAGATTGCCGGGGATGGAGGAATCAAACCCAGGTCAGCGGAATGCACAGCAAACGCCCTACCCACTGTACTATCGCTCCAGCCCAGAGAGATAGTACAGGAGGTAAATGCTTGTCTTACATTTACCTTACCCCAGATTGGTGCCTGGTACCACAAAGGAAATCTGAGCATTGGAAGGAATAACCCTTGAGCACAGTCAAAATAGCCCCTGAGCACTGCCATATATGGCCCAAAATCCCATCTGCTGCCCCCCCAAAAGTTTCCCACTACCCACTTGTTCAAAGGTAATCATTATAAAAACAGCTTGTTGGTATTCAGTAATACTGGTTAATTAATAACCAGACTTAGTCATAAACTGAGTCATTTTCTTATGAAATTTTCGAACAAGGTTCTCAAACATGGCCCCAAACCAACAGCGCCAGCATCAGGTAGAATTGGTGTAGAGAAGCAGTTCCCAAACCTGAACTTGGATCAGAACTCCTTAGGGAGGGCTAGAGAGATAGTTCAGAAGCAAGGCACTTGCCGTGTTGTGCAGCCGGCCTCAATTTGAGCCCCAGCACCACCTACAGTCTACCAAACCCCATCAGGAGTAAACCCCTGAGCACTTTGGTGTGACTTAAAAATAAAAAAATTCTTTAAGAAGCTCTTTAAAACCCTGAGTGCCAGAAGAAGGATCAAGTGGTTTGATCCCTGACACTGCATGGTCCTGGTAGGCTCTGAGCACACCTGCTATGGCCCCCACAACAATAAAAGCAAAATCCAAACACTGCTGGGACCCAGCATCTCCAGTTTCTGATTCACAGCTGGATGTGAGGATAAGGGGCTAAGAGCCTGCGGGGCCCCAGGTAAGGCTGAGGCTGCAGTTCCCAGAGCTACCAATCTAGAGGCACCCGCTCACTTCCTCCAGGCCCTGGGACTCACACTCAGGCTTGAAGGCAGCTCTCAGAGTGGACCCCTGGGGCCCATTTTCCCTGACCTCCCTCCCGGTACTGGGGAGTGCTGGGAACACTTGACCATCTGCAAGTACTGCAAGTCCGAAGTTAGCCTTCTGTGGGCTTCCTTCAATGCCACAGACACCGACCAGGGCCTCCCCAGCAAGTCATCCTGGGTGGCCTCCTGGGCTCATAATCCTTGCCCCACCCCACCCCCTCTTGGCTGGCCTGCAGTGCTCAGAAGCCAGGGACTTGGCTCCCCACTTCCCCCACAATTCTAGAAGCAGATGTACCAACTAAACACAGATGCCAAAACTCATTGCCCATGTATTTCCAGGAAATATGTCCCTCTTCATCAGCAGGGACACCGAAACTTACAAAAGTAGTGCCTCGCGAATGCCAAACCAGCACTGGAAGGGGACTTGGAAATGCAGGAAAGGACCAGGGAGGCCCCTGGATGTCTGAGCTGGTTTTTTGTTGTTGTTGTTGTTGCTGTTGCTGTTGTTGTTGCTGCTGCTGCTGCTGCTGCTTTTTGCTTTTTGGGTCACACCCGGAGATGCACAGGGGTTACTCCTGGCTCTGCACTCAGGAATCATCCCTGGCG